AATGTAATGTTTGACGTAGGCTGAAGCCCATTTTTCACGCCACCAAATTGGCGTTGGGTTGGAGATGCGCTCAGACTTCTATAAACAGGATTATCCGCCAGTATTTGAGATTGAAGTAACTGGAATATATATTGTCCAGCACTAACGGGATGATTACTCTGCTTTGGAATTCATACTCTCTGTCGCCAATTAGGAATTTATACTTGAGTGAGCATCCCTAAAAGTGTTCTTCATTTTGTTAAAGCAGAAAAAAGAATCAGAATTCATATTCCTGTTTCAGTCAATATCAATATTAATCAATTTCCTGTCTGTATATATCCAAATAAGAAGACTATTAAATTACCAACCAAATGAAGGTAAAAGAAATTTAATGCGATAAGTACAAGAAATGCTATCTCAAGGCTATAAGACAAAAACATAGTGGGCGGAATAATTTAGAAGTGAAGCATCTGAAACTCCAGATTTTTTCGAGTTCCGAAATCCATGATTTATTTCCCTTCATCAATGAAGAAGGGAACAAGGTTCTGTACACAGAATACGTCATAATTATTTTGCCCGCCATTAACTCATCTCTATGTTAAATATATAAAATTCGTTAGATTCATCTACTCCATGCTCTGAACTATACATATTTCTTTCTTTATTAAGTGACGCACTATTTTGTCCAGTAGCATTCTTCAGGGTTAGATGAATAATGAGAAGAATCAGCCCCATTTGGCATTATATTTAATATTTACTTTAATTTTTTATTCAGTAATGTATGCAAAAGGTTATATAATGAGAAGAATCAGCCCCATTTGGCATTATATTTAATATTTACTTTAATTTTTTATTCAGTAATGTATGCAAAAGGTTATATAATTAGGTTAAGGCAGTAAATTTTGAGGGGAAAGGAAAATGGAAGTATGGTTGAGTTGGGTTTTAGGATTTCTGCCAATATTGGGGTGGATGTTGTGGTGGTGGAACGACCTATGGTATGCAGTTCCTCTCAAATTTAGATATTCCGGTACCGGAACCAGGTTGCCACCTGGTTACATGGGCTTTCCATTTTTGGGGGAAATGATCAGCTTTCTTTGGTACTTCAAGGTTCTTCGCCGCCCTGATGATTTCATCAATTCAAAGCGACGAAAGTAAGTAATTAAGACACACATCCCTTTTCTTTTTCCTATTGAACATATGTAATACATACATATATCTTAAAATTTTCAAACATAAGTGATTAATGATATCTATGGCCTCTATATTGATTAGTTCTGTAGATCTTCTAGTTTTAAAACCCCAGTTGGAGATAACAGCAAGAGGACGAAGTTTAGTCTAATCTGCTAGAGGTTGACAAGAAGAGCCTGGCCGGCCGTAACTTAATCATATCATAATACCATGTCTTACTAAAAGTCGGTGTTGATGATGATTGATCAGGTATGGTGATGGAGTAGGAATGTACAGAACCCACCTCTTCGGATCACCGTCTATAATAGCATGCTTCCCGTCGATCAACAAATTTGTGTTTCGATCAGATGCCAATTTTATCCTCAAATGGCCCAACATTGACTTAATGGGAAGCACGTCTCTTGTAGCAGTCCATGGAAAAGCACATACCAGGCTCAGAAGCTTCGTGATTAATGCGATTAATCGACCTGATGCTCTTAGGCGTATCACTGAAATGGTACAACCACGTATGGTTGCTGCACTTCAATCATGGGCCCAGAAGGGTCGACTGAAAATGTATGATGAAGCAAAGAAGGTAAAATCATCAATTAGTTGAGTATTTATATCACTAACGAAACGTCCCTTTTAAGATTTAAGTATGAAGTGATTCAATATCCCATGTTTGCAGGTGACTTTCGAGAATATTGGAAAATTATTCGTAAGCTTTGAACCAGGGCCTCTTCTGGAAACCATGGATAAATTGTTTTACGGGTTGCTTGGTGGAGTTAGAGCTCAACCGTTCAACTTTCCCGGAACTGCTTATCACCATGCCCTTCAGGTAATTAAGGTTACACTATTTTAGATGTCTATACCCTGTATATTATTGTGAATAAATGATATATTACAGAGTCCTGTCCATGAATGACAGTGTAGGAAAAAGCTAGACGCAATTTTCAGGGTGGAGCTGGAGAAGAAGAAGAAGAAAAAGAATGAAAATGGAGTTGAGACAACAAATGATCTAATGGATGGGCTGATGCAAATTGAAGATGAGGAAGGCAAAAGGTTAAGTGACCAAGAGGTTGTGGATAATATTCTCAGCTTTGTTGTTGCTGGATATGAATCTACGGCTGTTGCGTCAATGTGGGCTCTTTATTATCTTGCCAAGTATCCTAATGTCCTTGAAAAGCTACGGGTATTATACATTTCCATATCTATATATCAATTCTATATCTTCTTGTGATCCATCCTGAGTATGTACCTTCTATGCAAATTTCAGGAAGAGAATATGGCGATACGCAAAAAGAAGAAAGGAGATTACATTACTATTGAAGATGTTTCTAAATTGAAATACACCAACAAGGTAATGTATATATTTGTTAAATTGGTAAGAGATTTTATTGTTTCCTGAAGTAATGATCTTTCCTTACAGGTGGTGGAAGAAACAATAAGAATGGCCAATATAGCCGCGATTTCTTTCAGATTGGCCACGCAGGAAGTGGAATACGAAGGTAGAAAGCTAAGTTTATTATGATTTAAGGAATGATCTCAAGTTGAAATTATTGATCCCTTATGCAGGTTATAAAATACCAAAGAACTGGAAGGTGATTTTGTGGCTTCGATACCTCCATACAGATCCAGAAAACTTTGATGATCCCACCTGCTTCAATCCTGATAGATGGAATGTAAGCACGAAGTGGATTAGTTTGTATAATTAACCAATGCCTTGCAGTTTTTAATTACTTTCTGTTTTATTAATATATAGAAACCAGCAAGGCCGGGTAGCTATCAGGTTTTTGGTACTGGAGCTAGAACCTGTCCTGGAAACACGCTTTCTCGGTTACAAATTGCTCTGTTTCTTCACCATTTGTCGGTTGGATACAAGTAAAGGAGGCCAATGACCTTTTAATTAATTACTTGAATTAAATTAATCCATAGTTTGTATGAGCTTTATTTAATAATGTTATTTTAATTGAATTTCAGGTGGGAATTAACGAATCCGGATGCAAAGATTATTTATCTTTCACATCCAAGACCGGTTGATGGGGTTGAGATCATCAATTTCAGGGAATTCTAGTATTACTGGTTACTAGTGACTCTTTGCAGTTAATAAATTAATTTTTATTTTATAATTTGGTTTTCTATTCTGGTTAGGAAAATTTTATTTTGGTTAGTGGGTTCTTGCTTTTACAAAATATGTACAGCTTCTCATCAATAAAATCCAGACGATATTGTTGTTAATATAGCATTTTGTGGACGTTAAGCATCTATTTTTTATTATTTGAAATATATTATAATAAATGTTTAGGGTCAAAAATCGTTTTGACCCTGACGAGACCCAATAATGAAATAAGTATGTCACGGCCTAAGGTTTCAGCTTAATCTCAATTGGGCTAATGCTTAAAATCACCTTGTGAATTACCTACTTTATGAGTTGGGTTATCCTATAAGTTAAGCTAAATTGGGTTTCAGCCCATTAGCTTGCAACAGTTCATAAATAGGAAATCATAATCTCATTCTATTTCCTCTTCTACTAAGATTCTAAATCTTGCTCAAACTATTAAACTTAATCTGATAAACGAAATAAATCATATTTCTTTTCTGATAGGGATTATCTCCCGAAAAATGGCTCAGTGTCTTACTAGAATTCCAACCCCTTAGGTTCACTATAAAAACAAAGGTATGCCCTCTCATTGAGGAATCTCTCATGTCAATTTAGACTACTCAAAACCATCTATTTGCTCCCAAAGTTCTTGTTCCCAAGAACCCGACGCCTCTGTCGTAGTCCTAGCCTCCGACAAGACTCTTGGTAATCTGTCTTCTCCTTAATTCTTATCAAATAATCTTTTTCAGCCTTGCTGACTTGAGCGTCGGAGTGCCTACAGCAAACACCACCCTAGTGTTTTCCGTAAGCTTCACGCTTGTCCTTTCATGTGTGCAGGTCTAGTGGATTGTCAGTGGTCTCAACCTCACGGATCAGACCCTATTTTCATGATGGTAGATTTTTTGCATCTACAATAAACATGTTTTTTTTTTTTTTATTCAAAAACATTTTGTGAGTATTATTGTAATTTTTTATTTTTTTGAAGGCAGTATTATTGTAAACTTTTTTTATTTTTTATTTTACATATATCTTTAATTTTTAAAACTATTTTTAGATTAAAATCAAATGGGCCCAGATTATAATATCTGACCCTTTTATCACACCCACAGGATTTATTGAAACCCTAAAGAAGTCACACTTTTTAATAAATTTTATAATGATAAATTTGTCCATATATAAATTATTAAAATTAACTTTAATTTCCTATTTTTTCAAATATTTTTGACATCTCACTATTATCTCATAAATACTACTATCTTTTGCTATTCACATTATTTTAGAATTGTAAGTTTTTAATTGCTTCACATATAAATTTATTGTTATTTTTTTCTTCAAAGTATTGATAATTATTTTAATCTATATTTTTTTGTATTGTCTAATTGTATTATATTCTTAGGATATTTTATAAGTATTTTTTTAGCTTTAATTTTTTTTGAACTTTCAATCTAATTATCTAAAATTTTAATTTAGAAATAATGATAACGAGGATATTGTTGACGATAAAATTTATGGTTGATTCGGAAGGGGCAGATCTTGTGAGAAGTGAGTCACTGACAATCTGATGAACTTGCACAAAGAGAGAAAGATAACGTGAAGGCTTGGGTGACACCGATGTGGTGTCTGCCGTAGGTGCTCTGACACTCAAGTTAGCGAGGTTGAATGTATTTTAGTGAGGGCCAAGAGCGGAAAAGATTTACTGTTATAATGCGGCTAGGGCTAGACTAACACAAAGTGGCCAGAGCGTAGCTTTGCAATGGTTAAAGGTGGTAAAGTTAGTCAAAACTAAACTTTACGGCAGGGGAAGTGGTGATTCTTGGGTGTAAGAATTTAGGAGCTAAAGCTATGGGTGATTCTGAATGAAAATTGAAAGGCTTGACCCCTTTTTATGTAATGAGCCAAAGAGGTTGGAGTCTTAGTAGAACTCTGAGTCCTACTTGGTAAATGAGTCCTAATTAGGAAGGAAGCACATGAGGTTTGCCTTTATTGGATTAGGGTTGCTACTTCAAGTAAGATTATGAATCTTGACTGAAGTGAAAAGTAAATATGATTCTGATTCCTATTTTGGGACTATTGTGAGCTAACAGCTAGAACCCGATTTAGCTTAACTTATAGGATAATCCAACTCATAGAATGATCAGTTCACAAGGTATATCTAAACGTAGGCCTAATCGGAATTAGGCTATGACATTGAGCCGTAATATGTTTATTTCATTATTAGATCCCGTTAAGCCTAATATGATTTTTTGCCCATAAAGATATATAACATAAGTACAGAGAATGTCATGTTAGTTCTTTTAATATATAATAAAAAGTATTTAATGCATCTAATTGGTTTTAAGTTTTGAAAATGACAGAATTCGTGGCCAATTATGGATATTTGCAGGCGAGGCACATCCACTAAAATTAAAGCAAAACTATTGGAATTACTCATTATCACATTTCCTTTTCTAGAATTTACAAACTAATAACAATTTAAGGGTGAGTGGTTTCGAGTATCTGCAATTTTAGAAGGAACCATAACTTGAAATGTAAGTTTCGGTTCTTTACCCGAGTACCCTATAAAATATTACCCCCTAGTAATTTAAAAAATAACAAATATATCCTAAAAATTTATAAATACACCCCTGACAGTTTGTGATATTATAATTACTAGAGTGAAAATGAAGTTTTTGAATTTGCCCATAAGTTAAATCAACATTAATTGTGACAAAATAATCAAATTAAATATTAAGATTAATATGATTTATGAATCTTTAATTTAATTAATTAGAATGACTCTAAATTTGTTTTATGTCATACAATAATGTTATAATTAATTAAATATCTAATCATTTAATGAAGTACAATTTATCATATACAATTACTAATTTACTATAGATATGCTTTAAACTTGATAATTGAAGTAAATATTATTCTATTAAATATACTATTTTATTTAAAAAAAACGTATTACATGTAACAAGATTATAATTTATAAAACAAAAGTATGGTCATTCGAATCCTAAGTTTTTTTTTAACATTATATTGATGTTGATACGAAAATTCGTACCAACATGAGAGAAACGATTGACCTTGACAGAATTTGAATGGATGTGTGTGTGATTAATGAAATCAGCAAAGGAAATATAAGCAATGCAATCAAGTAAATGACACAAGACAATTTTTAAACTAGTTCGGCAAATTAGAATTCAGGCCTACGTCCACTGTTATCTTATTGCTTTAGAGAGCTTATAATAACAAGTATATTATGCCTAATGAAATTTGCTAACCCCTTTCTCATCGGTTTAGGGGATTTTTTTACAAGTTGTGATAAAAGGAAAGAGAGATAAGTTCGGTATTGCGATCAGAGTTGATTTGCAATCCTCTGATCTTCGTGATTGAGCATTGAGATTGTGTTGGTGTTGATCTTATCCCTCCCGAAATATCCGAGATTGAAACTTATCTCTATTATCTTTAACTTTTTTGAAAGTCGAGCTTACTCTGGATCGTACTGATTCTGAGTCGAGCTTACTCTTGGGTCGAGCTGATTTTGGGTTCAACTACTTCTCTGCGAGCTTCTGAGATTTGCGAGCTCTATAGAAAAATCACACATAACAAAATATATAATCAACCAAGTTTTTGTAACAAGTTTAATCCAATTAAGAATGAGATATACTAGTGAATCAAGTTAAACGAGAATGTTACGGTGATGGAGTTGGAATGTACAGAACCCAACTCTTCGGATCACCGTCTATAATAGCATGCTTCCCGTCGATCAACAAATTTGTGTTTAAATCAGATGACATCTTTATGATTGAATGGCCCAACGCTGACATTGTGGGGTATTCATCTCTTGTAGGCTGTAGCAGTTCATGGGAAAGCCCATGCAAGGCTCAGAAGCTACGTGTCAAATGCGCTTAATCGGCCTGATGCCCTTAGGCATATCACTACTGTTGTTCAACCCCGTATGGTTGCTGCACTTCAGTCTTGGGCAGAGAAGGGTAGATTGAAACTGTATGATGAAGCAAAGAAGGTAAAATCATCATCAATTAAACATTATAAAGAAAATCCTCTTCATTAGTTTATGAACTTATGTTTACAGCATGTCTAAATATTGTCTAATTAATGCTTACAGGTGACTTTTGAGAATATTGGAAAATTATTTGTAAGCTTTGAACGAGGGCCGGTTTCAGAAACAATGGATAAATTGTTTGAGGGTTTGGTTCATGGAATTAGAGCTCAGCCGTTCAACTTTCCTGGAACCGCTTATCACCATGCCATTCAGGTTAAATCACACTATTCTCCATGTACAAATATATTACTGTGATTTTCTCTTCCCTTTGGTGCTCTGCTCTGTAAATATACTGATCTTACGGCAAGAATTTTATTCTAATCAGTGCAATATTCACGAGCCAGGCCATCTTTGATTAATTTTAAGCACATTGACAATGTTTGGGTGAAAATTAATATACCAGTGTTCTGTTTTGTCTCTGTCCACGTTATACCATTAGATCTCTTTGTAAAATATTGCACAAAAAAATTGAGTTGGATTATTATTACGAAAATATGATTTCAATTTGAAAAAGTATTTAATAAATTTTTGGAAAATATTTAGATTATTTTGATCTCATATATTTGTTAATTTAGCTAAACATCCCTAACAATAAATATTTTAAAATTAACAAAAACATCCCAACCCACTTATTAAATGCCGATAGCCGGTCACCACTGTCGGGCGGTGGTCTGAAGTCTCTGAAATGGCACATGACCGACTAGATCTGACTGGTAGTGAACCGATCTGGAATTTTTCGATCAGATACATGGTGAATTTGTTCAGAAACGGTCAGATCTACTGCCATAGATCTGACCGTTGATGACCAGATGTGGCCAAAACTTTGGCAATAGATTTAGCATTTTTCGATTAGATCCATGGCGGATCTAGCAAAAAAACGCCAGGTTAGTGCACGATTGGCCACATCCAACCGGTTGTGCGCTATTTTGATAGATTCTAGCCACCTTCGGTGGTGGCCAGTTGCCGAGAATATGTGAGGGTGTTTTTGTCAATTTATAAATTTTTTTGTTGAGAGTGTTTAGTTAAATTAACAAACCTCAAGAGTTAAAAAAATCTAAATATTTTGAGTTGAATAGAATATAATTGAATTTTGAGAATATTGAAATAAATATGTATTTTGAATAGAATGAGATAGGATAACATTTTGAATAATAAAACAAATACAGTAGTTAATTGGGAACATCTCCATGCATGAACAGTAAATGGCCCATTTCATTCGATTTATCGTTAATTTTTTCCGCAAATAACAACCACCGGCTTTCAGGTGGGGCCGTGGGGCTGAAGTGGATCTGTATTTACTGGAAACATATTATTTTGACCATATACAGTAAAACCTCTCTATAGTATTATAAGGAGGTTATAATTTAATAAGGATGTAGTTAAAAAAATTTCTTATTTCATAATTCATATTTTAGTAGTACAATATTATAATTTTAATTCATGTTTTAATAATATTAAGGTTTTAATTCAGCGTTTTAATTGCCTACTTTTGAAATAGATAGAAGATCGTATTTTGAAACCAACAAAGATAATTGTCATTGATGAAATTGTAAATGCAGTTGCTGCATGGCAACTGATGTAAAGCCACAGACAATTGCCAATTGTTTTAAGCATTACAAAATTAGAACCCCTGATGTCGATGAATTGCAAGGTATAAATGAAGTGGATGAGGAGAATCAAAGAGTCATTGTAGAATTGAGTGATCAAATTCGACAACTTCATTACACTAATCGAATGAATATTAATGTCTTCCTTAATCATCCAAATGCGTGACAAATCATGTATGTTTTAACAAAAGAAAAAATTATTTCTACAATTAAACAAGAAGAGAAAAGAAATAATTATAAGGATGATAGTACGGAAATACAAAAAGTTTCATGTCAAGAAGCTCTAAACATGTTTGAGAAGCTAGAAATGTTTTGGTTTTAACAAGAAAATGTCTATGCTAGCGAGTAATGTATCTGCAAGTTAAAAGATGTAATAACAACTCTAAAGTATAAATTATTGTCCTAAACAACTTCAGATAAATATTTTTATTTCATCTTAAACCTTTAATGTAACATATCATATATTTTTTTTGTAATATACAGATAATTATTACTATATAGAGGCAACTTTTCTTAAGACAGGAATTAGAAAAATTATAACTTATTACAATGTGGAGTTTATTCTTATTTATAACTATCTCAGATTGGAAATATAATTTTTTATTCCTATATAAAGTATTACTATAGAGAGGTTTAACTGTATATAGAAGTATTTAAATAAATGATCGTGGATCTATTACTTTTGAGATGACCAACAAAAAAAAAAAAAAAAAAAAAAAAAGACTAAAAGTCTAAATGAGGTTTTGTTGGGAAGAAATTAACTTATGCTAAATTTAAGGCCGGGGGCTCAGTAGAATTTGATATATGAATATGACAGTATGTCCATGAATGGGTGCAGTGTAGGAGGAAGCTGGAGACAATTTTTAGGGTGGAGGCGGAGCTAGAGAAAAAGAAGAAGAAAAATGGAAACGAAGTTGAAACAACAAATGACCTAATGGATGGGCTGATGCAAATTGAAGATGATGAAGGCAAAAAATTAAACGACCAAGAGGTTCTAGACAGTATCATCAGCCTTGTCCCTAATGTCCTTCAGAAGCTACGGGTATTATATATAACCATGTCCATAAATATGTCGATTCTATATTCAAATATTTACAAAATGCATAATTATATATATCTCTTCTTGTGACGACTCACCCTGATTATGTCTTCTATGCAAATTTCAGGAAGAGAATATGGCTATACGCAAGAACAAGAAAGGGGATTTCATTACTGGTGAAGATGTTTCTAAATTGAAATATACCAGCAAGGTAATGTATATATCTGTTATGTCCAGGAAAATGAAGGGCTGACGTGGGAAAGTCACGTGAAGGGTGACCTGCTCCCGTCAGAGCAGCACGCACATGTCAGACCTGCCAAGTGATATGGAGCCCACACGTGTCCTTTTTTCTGCAACAAATCGTGCGATGTCAGCCTGGGAAAAGGGAAATGGGACGTAAAGCCGGATTACATCCTGACAATCACACCAAACCATGGATTTAGTGATGATTATACGCTTCAGACTGATATAAAATGAAGAAGACCCCTTCATTAGAGGGGGTCGGCCGTTTCTCATACAAAAAGAGCTCTCTCTCTCTCCTGTAATCATTTTGACTTTTTCATCTTATGTAAGTCAGCTCGCACTCGCGACCTGACCCACACTAATATCAATGCAAATCAGTGGACGTAGGACTTGCTACCTTAGCATCCGAACCACCTTAAAAAACTCCTTTTACATTTATTTCGCTTTAGATATTTCATTTCCATGTGCATTGAACGGCCAATCAGCGTTACACACGTGAAAATTCGTTGGTGCTTAAACGGAGCATCAACAGTTGGCGCTAGAAGGAGGGCTTGATTTAGTGTCTACCCTTTATCAGGAGAATCTTTGACCTACTGGTCTTACAGCTACAATGGCCCGCCAATCTGAACCTGAGCAAGGGAACCAGCATGCGGAAGGAGTCCCCCTGGCCCAGAGGGACACCCCTTCCAACATACTTCTAATTTCGCAAAATGCTGCTGGGAATACCCCAGCAGCCCCGCAATTGGACCCTGCCATCAGAAGCTACCTGGAGAGGTTTGACAATACTCTCCAGATGGTCAACCAAAGGTTGGACCGTCTGGACCAAGGCATGTCATCTACGACAGCTGGAGCGGTACAACCGCTAAAAACGCCTGCAGGTCGCGCGAAAGCGCGGCAAAGGGCGATAGCCCGTGCCGCGAGCACTGCAGCGCGTAAGCGCAAGGGTAACAAGTGGCAAAAAACAAGCCTACGGGCTCCCAAGGGCCGGCGAATACCAAAGGTGCCCCAAGCAGGGTATCAGCAAAGCTGAGACTTGGCGAAAGAGTGGACCCCGAGCTGTCTCACGCCACGATGCAGGTAAACCCAAGCAAAAATGCTGGGCATGGTGGTCCCGATCACCAACAGCAGAACGATCCCGATCGTTATGCGAGAGGCCCTCACACCTCACGGGGCGGTTCGTACCACCGCGAGGGTCGTGAAAGTGCCCCTCACAACCCATCGTCTTCACACGCCTCTAGTCAGCGTGTGTCAAGGGCGGCCGGAAATGCCGGCCGAGGCGAGGAGGAATCTGATCTCCGGACTTTCCTGAACCACAACCGAGAAGGCAGGGCTCGCACGGGTGAAAACAACCCCCAATTGGCCCCATTACCGCAAATTGAGGAGCTGCAGCAAGCTCTGGACAGGCTAAGGGAGCAGCAAAACGAACAGGCGCAGGTCGCCTCTACATCCCCATTTTCTCTGGAAGTGCTAGCTGCCCCACTTCCACCAGGGTTCAGAATGCCAGATATGCGGCCGTTTGATGGAAATTATGATCCGCAGGATCATTGGTATGAGTTCAACGACCTGATGGAGCTCCACCAGGTTTCGAACCTTGCGAAATACCGATGTTTGGCTGTGACGCTGACTTCTCACGCCAAACGGTGGTTAAGGTTGCTCCCAGCGGGATCGATCAGTTCGTGGCCTCAGATGAGCACGACGTTCTTGCAGCATTTCCAAGCCAACCGGAAATTTTCAATGCCTTTAAGCTACCTCAGCAACATAAGGCAAGAAAGAGACGAATCCCTGCAGTCTTATGTTGACCGCTTCCACAGGGAACTCAACAAGGTGGCCCATGCTCCAGAAGAGTCCATCCGAACTCTTATAATAGCCGGAGTTCGCCCGCAAACCGACCTGTGGAAGGAGCTGCAGGCTGAGGACGATATTTCCCTCACCAGATTCTACAACCTGACGGAAAAGTATCTCCGAATAGAGAATTCATTGGCGGCACTTCGCCGTCGCGATCACGGGACCTCAAGCGGTGTGTCAGGTCGGGGAGACAACAGGCGAGCTGATCGCAAAGGAGACAATGACGATCAGCGAAAAGGGAAAAAACCCCGCTACGAGCAGAAAAAATCCTATGCTCCTGTTCCCCGTCACGACCGCGACAGGGCCCAATACACTCCGCTGAATGTGTCCATATCTGCGATCCTCGACAAATCCGAGGAAGCCAGTCTGCTCGGTGAGCCAGAACCCATGAAAACTCCTGCAACGGCCAGGAACAGCAAGAAATACTATCGTTATCATCGGGATAACGGGCATCACACTGATGAATGCCGAGCTCTAAAGCAGGCTATCGAAGAGCTTATCAAGAAGGGACACTTCAAGGAGTACATTGACGACTCCCCAAAAGAAAACCAGGGGGAGCGAAAGAACAAGCGCCGTGATCGCAGCGGGTACAGTAGTGTGAACCTAATTTTCGGAGGTCCGTACCTCGCTGGAAACACGTGAGGGGCGCAGGACAGGTATGCTCGAGAAGCACATCATGACCCAATCAGGGTCATGAGCACATCGCAGCGACCTTAGAAAGCCAGGAAGGAAGAACCAATCACCTTCTGCTAGAAGGAGGCAGCTTGTCTGCACCACCTACACGAGGACGCTCTGGTGATCACACCCCTGATAGGGTGTCATGATGTCTGCAGAATGCTTGTGGACAACGGAAGCGCTGTGAGCATTCTGTTCAGGTCCGCTTTCGATAGAATGAACCTGGTCGAGGCCGACCTGAAGCCAGCCTCGATGCCTCTATACGGTTTTACAGGGGATCACCTAATCCCCAGCGGAACAATCCAGCTCCCAGTCACGCTCGGCGACTACGACGAGGTGACTAGGGTTACCGAATTCTTGGTCGTGGATTGCCCATCGGCCTTCAATGGAATCCTAGGGCGACCTCTACTGAGAACCTTCAAGGCAGTTACTTCCATTTATCATCTCAAGATGAAGTTCCCCACTCCGTCGGGGATCGGGGAGGTTACTCGAGTGAAAATGAGTTTTTGAATTTGCCCATAAGTTAAATCACATTAATTGTGACAAAATAATCAAATTAAATATTAAGATTAATATGATTATGAATCTTTAATTTAATTAATTAGAATGACTCTAAATTTGTTTTTGTCATACAATAATGTTATAATTAATTAAATCTAATCATTTATGAAGTACAATTTATCATATACAATTACTATTTACTATAGATATGCTTTAAACTGATAATTGAAGTAAATATTATTCTATTAAATATACTATTTTATTTAAAAAAAACGTATTACATGTAACAGATTATAATTTATAAAACAAAGTATGGTCATTCGAATCCTAGTTTTTTTTTAACATTATATTGATGTTGATACGAAAATTCGTACCAACATGAGAGAAACGATTGACCTTGACAGAATTTGAATGGAGTGTGTGTGATATGAAATCACAAAGGAAATATAAGCAATGCAATCAAGTAAATGCCACAAGACAATTTTTAAACTGTTCGGCAAATTAGATTCAGGCCTACGTCCACTGTTATCTTATTGCTTTAGAAGCTTAATAACAAGTATATTATCCTAATGATTTGCTAACCCCTCTCATCTCGGTTTTAGGGGATTTTTTACAAGTTGTGATAAAAGGAAAGAGAGATAGTTCGGTATTGCGATCAGAGTTGATTTGCAATCCTCTGATCTTCGTGATTGAGCATTGAGATTGTGTTGGTGTTGATCTTATCCCTCCCGAAATATCCGAAGTTGAAACTTATCTCTATTATCTTTAACTTTTTTGAAAGTCGAGCTTACTCTGGATCGTACTGATCTGAGTCGAGCTTACTCTTGGGTCGAGCTGATTTTGGGTTCACTACTTCTCTGCGAGCTTCTGAATTTGCGAGCTCTATAAAAATCACACATAACAAATAATAATCAACCAAGTTTTTGTAACAAGTTTAATCCAATTAAGAATGAGATATACTAGTGAATCAAGTTAAACGGAATGTTACGGTGGATGTTGATGTACAGAACCCAACTCTTCGGATCACCGTCTATAATAGCATGCTTCCCGTCGATCAACAAATTTGTGTTTAAATCAGATGACATCTTTATGATTGAATGGCCCAACGCTGACATGTGTGGGTATTCATCTCTTGTAGGCTGTAGCAGTTCATGGGAAAGCCCATGCAGGCTCGACCTACGTGTCAAATGCGCTTAATCGGCCTGATGCCCTTAGGCATATCACTACTGTTGTTCAACCCCGTATGGGTTGCTGCACTTCAGTCTTGGGCAGAGAAGGGTAGATTGAAACTGTATGATGAAGCAAAGAAGGTAAATCATCATCAATTAAACTTATAAAGAAATCATCTCCTTCATTAGTTTATGAACTTATGTTTACAGCATGTCTAAATATGTCTAATTAATGCTTACAGGTGACTTTTGAGAATATTGGAAAATTATTTGTAAGCTTTGAACGAGGGCCGGTTTCAGAAACAATGGATAATGTTTGAGGGTTTGGTTCATGGAATTAGAGCTCAGCCGTTCAACTTTCCTGGAACCGCTTATCACCATGCCATTCAGGTTAAATCACACTATTCTCCATGTACAAATATATTACTGTGATTTTCTCTTCCCTTTGGTGCTCGCTCTGTAATATACTGATCTTACGGCAAGAATTTTATTCTAACAGTGCAATATTCACGAGCCCCATCTTTGATTAATTAAGCACATTGACAATGTTTGGGTGAAAATTAATATACCAGTGTTCTGTTTTGTCTCTGTCCACGTTATACCATTAGATCTCTTTGTAAAATATTGCACAAAAAATTGAGTTGGATATTATTACGAAAATATGATTTCATTTGAAAAAGTATTTAATAAATTTTTGGAAAATATTTAGATTATTTTGATCTCATATATTTTTAATTTAGCTAAACATCCCTAACAATAATATTTAAATTAACAAAAACATCCCACCCACTTATTAATGCCGATAGCCGGTCACCACTGT